TTATACTCGTATTCCAATTGTATTTATACTCGCATCACAATTAACTTTCAATACGATTCCAAATAATGGTTGGAATGGTATTCTGTTTTATTACACTTTACCTACCATTTCAATACCCCACAACTTTCCAAGATGACGATGATGAGGAGGAGGTGGAAGATATTCTATTGTTGAAAGTTGTTGTCTTTGTTTTCTTTGTATTGCGCTTAGTGTATGACATTCTGTGTTTTGTTCTTTTCAATCTCTTTTCCATTTTTTCCTCGTTCGTTGTTATTACTATTTTCTTAGTTTTTGCATTTTGAGTATGCGCTTCTACCAATTGCCTGCCTACTGCTGCTGCTTGTACACTGTGTTGTTTCGTTCTGTGTGTAATGATGATGTACCCCATCATTGTGTGTACTTGCTTGATTGCTTTACTTCTCCTGCGCGCGCTGTAAAAATCAGTTGAAAGCAACGACAACAACAGCAAACAAAAGAAGGAAATGAAAACATACCATCAACAAGAAGAAGAAGAAATCAAGTATTGTGGTTCATACCATACAGTTAGTAAGAGAGGTGTTCCTTCCAAAAAGAGTCTGAAAGAAAAGTAGTATAAGTTGTGTTTGTACAACAAAAAAATAAAATAAAATAAGAAGAAAAATCAAAAGAAATAAAAATTACACAAAATCACCAGAAATTTCCAAAGAAACTATTATAATCTCTCTGGTTTGTTGTAATATAACAACAAAAACCGCAAACATCGTTCATGTAATTATTGAATTATTATTGTGTTTTGATATCTTGTTTTCTGAATTTATGTTAGATTGTGTGTGGCACACTTACTCCGACAACTCTTTCCTGGTTATAAGGAAAATAAATTATAATATGGCGGCAATTACGTTACGTTGTATTTCGGCTTAAGATTTATACCGCAAATTATTTGTTTTGCAGCAGTTGTTTTTTTTCTAAGCTTGTTTTTTTGTTTGATGCTTTGTGTGTGCTTTATTCAATTAATATTTCTCGGTATAATGATGACCATTCATCCACCACCACCCTTATACGTTTTAAAATAACGAAGCCAACGGGAGAGATTTAAATTTTTTTGTATAGTATTGCAGCTCGCATTGTTGTTGTTGTTGCAACTGCTTGTGTATTTTTATTGTTATGTAATCTTTTATTTAGGCATTTTTTTGTTCATCTTGATTTGATGTGTTATTTATTGTATTGTGTGTGGTGATGTAGTACAGCATTCATTCATTGTGGTGTATAACAGCGGTGGTGGTTGTTGGCTTTTGGCCTTTTTTGCAATGTTTTTGTTTTCCTTTTTTATATGGAAGTTAATATTATATATTAGAATTCAATTCAATATACATATTACCGTTTTTCTTATTTCTCCTCGTTTTTTTTAATTTCCATAATATTTTGCAGCCAGCCAGCCAACCAGGCATTGCATTTATTTAGTTTGACATTAGCCGTTTTGTTGTTGTGTGCATGTGTGTTGTACCTTGCCACCTCTTCTCTCTTTTCTATCTCTCTTGATAATGTCAAGTCCTCAGTGTGTTTATTACACATACAATTTCTAATTGTGTGTGCAAATTTTGCTTCTTCTTTTGCCGGAATCGATAATTTTTTATGTATGTTTTATTATTTGTTTTCATTTCTTTCTTATTATCCTATCGTCGTTTTCCTTTTTGTATTAAACTGCTATTTAATTTCCCTTTTGCATTTGGTGGTGTTCATCTACGCGGTTCCATAGTGCAGTGTAGCGCATAGTTGACATTTGACAATACAATGTTTCGCTCTCTCCCTTGTTCGTTTTTGTCTTTGTCATATCCGTTTTTGACAACCCAGCTAATGTCACTCCCCCCACCCTCGTTTGACAGTTTTTCTGCACAACAAAATGCGCCTTTGTCACATATGACGGCGTAACTTTGGACTCTTAAACGAACGTTTTGCCGCCGTTATTAGTTTCGTTTAAATAGGGGATTAAAAGGTTTTTTAAGTGAAATTGAAGGTTTTTTAAGTGCAAATTATTAAAAAAAATAAAATACATATAAAAATTAAGCAAAGTTTGTTAATACTGTCAATAATCTTATAATTAGCAATTTAAAAATATATAATTTAATATATTTACCATGAAATTAGAGCGGACTTGTTTGCCATCAAACACTTTGCATTTTAATGTGAAATTAGAACTTTTAAAGTGAAATTAATAAAAAAATATTAATAAATTGCTAAAAATTAATAAATAATTTAATATAACTTATAATTAGCTTTTAAACAAATATATAATTTTATATATATTTGCAATAAAATTTGGCATATTTGTTTATGACAACCCAGCTGTTCTCTGTTCTCTCTCTCCCTCATTGTCATTTTTGTCAAACTTTTTGCCGCCGTTGTTAGACTTGTTTAAAGGAGAATTGGTTTTTATATGAACTTAAAGTGAAATTAATTAGAAAAATATTTAGAAATCAAAGCAAAGTTTGCTAATAATATTAGAATTAATAATTTAACAATATATATTTTAATATGTTTACCATAAAATTGGAGCGGGCTTGTTTGTCACTAAACGTTTTGCCTTTTAAAGTGAAATTAATAAAAAATATGAATAAATTGCTAAAAATTAATAAATAATATAATAGAACTCATAATTAACGTTTTAAAAAATATATAATTTAACATATTTGCAATAACATTTGGCATATCACTTTATGACAACCCAGCTGTTCTCTGTTCTCTCTGTCCCTCCCCCGTTGTCATTTTTGCGCCTTGTCAAACGTTTTGCCGCCGGTTTATTAGACATGTTTAAAGGAAAATTGGTTTTTATGTGAGCTTAAATTTTTTAAGTGAATTTAATTAGAAAAATATTTAGAAATTAACACAAATTAATTAATAATATTAATAATGCAATAATTAACTAATACAAATATATATTATATAATATATTTGCCAATATTTGTGAAATTTGAGGTTACCACAAATTAATTTTGGTTTAATAAATTTGAATATTATAATTAACTATCAAAAAATATATAATTTAATAAATTTGCAATTTGAGCTCTATTTTTAACCGCAACATTTGGTCTCGTTTTTTGAGATTATGTAGTGGATTACTTGACTGGAATTTCAGAAAATATCAAAAACCTGAAAACCCATTGGATTATAATGAAGTAATTTTTTTTACTTTAAAATATTTTAAATAATAATACCATGATTATTTTTAGTTATCCTTTTTGCTTGGTGTAAGGATAGGAATGTATACCTATAGCGCAAAATACCACTATGTCTTGATTCGATTTTACGGAAAGGATCTTTTAAACTGTATTTGTATATATTTTATTTATCTTCTTTAAAACAATTCTAATAAGTATTTGTTTTTTTTTTCTTTACAGTTTGTGACTAAAACAACGATAACAATCGAAATTTAATACAAATATATTATTAATATATATTGTAAAAAAAAAACAAACAACAATTCCTACAATATACACCAAACAGCGATCCTCCCAAATAGTTGTTGTGTGCGTAGTGGCCACTACAGCATATTTGACTACACAAAATCGTCCTAAAACGTCGTCGTCCCCCCAATAACAAACTATAACTATTTTGAGTGAGAAAACGTTTAAACAAACAACGATCGTCGTGGAATCATACAATAATTGTTGTAAACGTTTCCAACGGAAACCAAAGAAACGTAAACGACATTATTGTATTAAGCGACGAATAATTTTAAATCGAAGAAGAAAATTTGTCCAAACCAACCGCAACTATTTTAGCAGCATTACACCTGCCCAACAGCTACAAAGTCGCAGTAGTAGCTGCCACACGACGAAACGTAACAACCACAACAAATCGATAAAATTTAAAATTAAAATAAATCTCAAAGTTATGTTGATTGATGTGATGGCTAATAATGTAATGTTGCCCAAGAAGTGTATTCATCAACGATCAACAACAACTCAATTAAAGAATTATTTATTAAAATCGTCAAATACGGACTATTGCTTTGAATTAAGCCCCCATGATTTTGGGGGCCCGCCACTATTTTGTGTACAGCAGCAGCAAAAGGAAAAGGAGCCACAGCAGCAGCTATACAACAAGGGCTTGTTGTGTCACTACAACAACGACAATATCCAAAACCTTCAAACGCGACTAACGACTAGCAGCAGCTTACAAAGGAAATGTCATAACAACAAATCTGGGGCCACAAAAAATCATGATAACAGTTAAGTGGTGATAAACAAAACAAAAAAAGAACTAAATAAATACTTTGAAAGAGAACGGTCCAGAAAACAACAACTGACAGAGATTGCAGTATAAGACGAAAAAAAAAACATAAACTATAAAAAAAGTAAAACCGAAAATTTAAATATTGAAAAAAAATTAAAAAAAAAAAACATTGTAAAGAGAAAACCTGCAAAGAAAAAAACAAAAACGTTTGCAGTTATCCTGTGGTACACATTTTGACGGCCGATAGTTTTTTCTATTATTATTTTAGAGGTGTTAAATTAAGGTATGTAGAAATGAATTCATTTGTAATATATATTATTTAACCATTTTCCCAATATATTTTGTTTATAGCCCAAGAAAGAAAATCAAAATGGATGCAAAATATTTTCCAGTAGTATTTGTCTAAGAGCTATAATCAAAATATATTTTTGTAAACCAAATTATTATTTATTGTAGTGTGTATTTATTAACAATTTCAAATATAATTTACAAAATTTGTGTGATATAAAAATGTTATTACAATTTTATAACTCGAATATTCGTTGAGTTCAAATTTTATATTTAGATTTCATATTTAAACACGTTTTTGAGTTTATATTTTAATTTTCCAATATTAAAATTCCACAAATTTTGTAAATTAGTATTCGAAAAGAAACAAAAAATCATCTTCCTTTTCCTTTTTGCATAACTTTTGTATTTTTCTCATCATTTTGTAAATCAAAAAACAAAATATCTAAAGAAAACAAACAAAAGAAAGGATTTTTAATATTGCAACAACAAAAATAATAATGCCCATGCCATCATCGGGTATTATTGTAGTTGAAAAACCAAGCACTACTTTAAATACAAAAATCAGCACTACTACTACTACCACTACTACTAACTCAAACAATAGTATCATCACTAATTATCGTCATCAACGACAACAACAACAACCTCTTTATCATAATCATCATCAACATCCTCATCATCATCCTTCTCATCATAGTTATCATCATCGTCATCATTCTAGTACTAGTAGTAGCACCACAACAGCCTTACAAGCACAACAGCAACAACAACAACGACATCAACAGCCAGAACAACAAAACCGGCACATTAAATATTTCGAATATTATGAAGCTAATAAAAATTCACAATTATTGTCTCAACAGAAATCATCATCAACGTCGTCGTCAGCAGCAGCAACAACAATTGTTGGTCCTTTATATCAAAAACAACAGCAGCAGTCTAGGAAAGTAGACATAATACCGGACAAAGAAGAGAAAGAGCGCCAAGGATTGCATAGCGCAATAACAACAACACTATCATCATCATCATTGACAACAACGTCAACGTCATTGTCAACCTTGACCTTCTCCTCAACGTCCTTGACGACTACAACAAAACCACAACATTTACACATAACAACCATTAAAGCCGGGCCCATGCCACATACAACCAAACAACTCCCACAACAACAACAACAGCAGCATACTTTACATAACAACAGTCAGCAGCAGCAACAACAACAACAGCAAATTCTTCATCATACACCAACACAACAACAACATGTGCAGCAAGTTCATTTGTCTAATAGTACAACGACGACTACTGCAGCACAACTACAACAGCAACACCCACATTTACAACAACAAAAACTACAGAAACACCAAACCCATATGATACAAGTGTCCGCCGAGGAATATCTTGAAAAACAACAACAACAGCAGCAACAGGCTCAAATCCACACAAAACCAAACACCAGCAACAACACCTCTTCCAACATGATGATTTCAGCCAGCGGAGAGGTCATACAACAGCAACAAATTTTTAAAATTGTCAGTACGGATGCTGCCACGGGAAATATGATCATTGATACATCGGGTAGTGGTGCGGGTGTGGGTACCACACAAAATGTCGCTCCGAACCCCTCCTCCTCTGCCGCCTCCTCATCGTCGTCGACGACCACATCCAAAGTCTTGCTAAGCAATTTAACGGTATTGTCCAAGCAACAACAGGGGCAAACAACGGCTCAAACTCCCTCGCCTGGAGTTGGACAAACCATAAATTTTGTCAACACCAAACAGATGTATGGCACCAACACCACCACCACACCAGCCACAATTCCAGCCAGCAGTGCTGGAATTATTGGTGCTGGTGTTGGCAGCAAACAGCCTAAATTTACGGGCAATCTTAGCAGCACTCTGGGTAGTTTTAAGAGTACACCACTCAAACAAACTACAAATACCACCCATTATATGCAGCAGGTTGGTGGAATGGTGATTGGAGCTGCTGGTGGTGGAACCACACAGCCCAAGATCAGTATGATGGGTGCAGGTAATCGAAATATGCAATTGTTGGGCAACAACAACACCTCCTCGAGGTTAATGGGAAATCACAGTGGTGTTGGTGGCGGCACAATATTGACAACAAATAATGTCACGGCCGCCAATGCTGCCTCAGCTGCTACTGCAGCCCAGACAATGGTCTTGCAACAACCACATAAATTTCTAACCACAAATAATGTGGCAGGTTCAAAAACAACAACAACAACACTGGGTGGGGGCAACGTCATCAAAAAATCCACTGGTGGTGGTGGTACACTACGCATGAATAACAGCAGCAACATTGGTAGTTCCTCCTCCACGGTGATGACAAATACAACGGCAACTAGTAAACTATTGGGTAATTTGCATGGAGGATCATCATCATCAGCTGGTGGTGGTGGTGGCCAGGGTGTCAAAACGTTTATAACACAAACGTCGACAACAGCTAATGCTCAATTGGCGGCGGCAGGTACAACTATGCAGCAACAGCAACAGCATCACACCACAACAAAGGGCAGTGGATCGAAATCGAAATTTGTTAAACAATATAATAATGCTATTCTTAACAGCGCTGGCGCTGTGGCAATAGCAACATTGCCCCATCAGCAGCAGCAACATCAAACTTCTATTGGTGGCAATACTGCTGGAGGTGCTGCCATAATTGGTGGTCAACAATCGCCTCACCACCATCAACAACAAACAACAGCAACATATTTAAATCATCATAAAACATCTGCAGCAGCAACAACACCCACAAAAGCCAACAAACTAAATTCCAAATATACGGCAGCTGCAGGAACGACAACAAGCAGTGTGGCAGCTCATCAATTACCGGCCGGTACCCAGTTGCATCAGAAAACCGCCATACAGTATCAAACGGCATCGCTCAATAGCAGCAGCTGCAGCAGCAGTGTCGCAATTAACAACAACAACAGCAATATTAAATTTGTTAATGCCCAAGGCACCATAATACAACAAACACAGCAGCAAACAGCAGCGACCCAACAACCTTTGACACCACAAAAAATACAAATTAAACAACAACAACATCATCAAAGCTATGAAAATTTAGTAGATACTCAACAACAACAACATGGCGCTACTGGCGGGGCATCTAACAGCTGCAGTACTACTGCTGGAGGTGCTGGTTCCGGTGGCAATTCCTCACAATTAAGTGATGATATTATGATGGTCAATGGCACACAAATGACCGATGAATTATCGGCTCGTATCCTACAGAGTATGTCACAAAAATCCTTCATCAATCAAAGGTATCAGCAATTGCAGCAACATCAACAAACCTCAATTGTTGGCTATCAGAAATCTCCAAACAACAACAACAACAGCGCGACTAGCAACAATGGCAATATGTTTCCACCGCCACAACAGCAGCAGCAGCAACAACAAAATTCTACCACAAATTCTCCAAATGCATTAGTACAAGGTTCAGCAGGCACATCATCACCATTATCTCAACATCACCACCATATGCAAAATATGGCCAACAACAATGCCAACAATAATCATCATTCGAATATCTTATTATCACCGCGAGAATATACCCTTTATCCGCCAGTAATTGGTTCACCTCAACAATCGTCGTCGGCAACACAGCAGCAGCCGCCACAAAATCATCCACCACCCAGTTCACCAAATCACTATAATAGTGCAGCATCTCCCTCCCACCACCATCAGCACTCCTCTACGGCCGCAACAACATATATGACCAATATTGGTGGTGGTGCAACCATAACACCACATTCGGGAAATATGACAGGCAATGTTGGAACGGCTGCGGCGACATTAGCAGTTGCAGCAGCATCCGCATCGTCATCATCACCTGCTGCAGTATCATCATCATCATCCTCACGTTTAACAACACAAAGTGCACCGAGTTCACGTTCCCAGTCGATGGAACGTAAACTGCATGAATCTTCAATATCACGAAAATCATCGGAGTATTATAAAGTCAAGTAAGTAGAACAGAATGATTCTTAATTCTATCTTTCTCTTATCCAATATTTCATTGTTCCTGTCATAGCATTTCTATATATTTATAATTATTTTACCGATTACAAAATCTATAAATGTCTACTTTTTTGCATGCTCCTCTGACCATTTATTTTTTAATTTCAAGTCAAAAAACAACCTAAATTTTTGAATTTATCCTCAAACCTTTAACATAACCTCAAATTCTAAAACAACCTTAAATTACTTTTTTTCTTCTTCAATAACTTTTTTAATTTCTAAAAAAAAAAATATTATCCCCTTCCCTCTTTTAATCGTTAACAATGCCGCCATTCTGTTCCTCAAAGATTTTCAACATAACCTCAAATTATAAATTTTTTTCTTACCCTTCAATAACTTATCTTTAATTTCTAAAAAAATGTTCCCTTGTATTCATTCGGCATACAATGTCGCCATCATGTCCCTTATATACTTGTTTCCTTGTTGTTTAGCTTGTTCCTCCTTCCTATCATAAATTCCTAACCTACAAAAAATATTTTGAAAATAAATGTAATTACTATTAAATATTTTGTCAACAAATTGTGGCGATTACATCACCACCAACAACTCCATAGAAGTCGTTTCCACGACTGAGGGGGTGCCTACGATCCGAAACGACCCTCGGATCTTTCTTGGCCAAGTTCTACCACCTCAGCCCATTGTGTAAAAGCAACCCTATTGCTTTTACACAATTACAACAACTCCATAGAAGTCGTTTCCACGACAGAGGGGTCTATGATCCGAAACGACCCGAGTCATTCTCGGCCAACGTCTGTCACCTCAGCCCATTGTGTAAAAGCAATAGAGTTGCTACAACAACAACTCCATAGAAGTCCTACTATCAACTCCTAGCCCTTGTCTATATCTGTCGTGAACACAATCGACCATTAATCGAGTTTGTCATAACTTTAACGCCAAGTCCCCATTTCTTTTACTTCTAATATCTCTTTTTCTTCTCCTAATGCCTCTTTTTCTTCTTCTCCTTTTTTATCACCATCTTCTGCAACAACTTTTAACAACAACTAGAATTAATTAATCCTAATAATATTTTTCTTTTTCTTTCATTTCAATCTCTTAAACAAATTTGAACACGACAACAACAAAAATAATATCGAAACGCCAATAAAAATGGCCAATAAACAGCAATCACAATTCCCTGCGTGGTAGTCATAGTAATTTGGCGACAACTTCATCATCATCGCATATACCGTCGGCGGTCGGCGGTGGAGCAACAGGAACGAATTTATCGGCAACAACATCCTCCGGAATTAACACTAATGCTACACTACCATCCAGATCATCTTCAATCCACCAGCAACCACCAACAACACCCTCCGCAGCAGCTGCAGCAGCATCATCAGGACATCTATTTGAATCCCAATCCCAAATTGGTCATTTAAAATCCATGTCCTCAACAACAACATCAGCAGGCGCCGGCGGCAGTCCCTCCAACGATGATGATATTATTGGTGAAGAAATGCGACCCTTACTCGTGGAGACACACGATATACGTTTGCAAATATTGCATGCGGTATTATTGGATCATACCTATGCCAATCCCATGCCTTTGGAATTGCCAACAACATTTGCTGTTCAGCAGACAACGAGCTCGTCCTCATCTTCCGCGAATACAACAAAGAACACCACGACGGTTGTTATTGGTGGCCAGCAACAACAACAACACCACCAGCAATGGTCTTTGGGTGGTATAGGTGCAACAGGCACAGCGGCAACGGCAAGCACGGTTATTGCCAACAACAATAGCAACATTGTTGGTGGTGCGGGTGTTTCTTCAACACCCACCACCTATCCTATGTACAGTTCACAATGTAAGTTGGAAACACTTTTCTTAATACGATTTTTTCAAATATTTTTCAATTTTTTTGTTTGTTTTTGTTTTTAGTATCCCGCCTCCAGCAAGATGATGATGCCTATTCAGCCATTAGTAATAATTCAAGACCAGCCTTAGGTGATATTGATCCCGGTGAGGAAACTGAAACAGCCCCTGAAGCAGAGGCCGAAGATGATTCCGTGACACGTTGTATATGTGATTTAACGCATGATGATGGCTATATGATTTGTTGTGATAAGTGTTGGTAAGTTTGGGTACACACACACATATATATATATATATATATACTTCTGTATTTATATCACCTAACCTCACTTTTCCTTTCTTTTTTTTTAGCGCCTGGCAACATGTCGACTGCATGGGCATTGATCGTCAAAATATACCCGATGAATATTTATGTGAGCTGTGCCAACCACGTCCAGTGGACAAGGCCCAAGCCCGATCCCTGCAATTACAAAAACGTCGAGAACAATCCCAAATAATGGCCCAGGCAGCAGCCGCTGCGGCCGCCGCTTCTGGTGCAGCTGGTACTGCAATTGTTGGTGGTGGTGGCGGCATAAACCCATCATCTAATCTCATAACTGATGCTTTGACAGGTCAAACACGTCTAGCATCTGCATCTGGTGGTTTGGGTACATTTGGTTTGGCTGGGGCAAATTCCGATCCTACAAATCATATGCTGGGAAGTGGAAATTCATCTACCGGCACCACCATGAAAAAGGGTGCAAAAATGCTCAAAAAAGTCAAAGAATCATCTGGCAAGAAATCGAAAAAATCCGATAAATTGTCGGGTGTTGGTACAGCAGCAGGAGGAGCGGGGTCAGCATCAAATACTGCTGGAAAATCCGGTCGCAAGGAAGGCAAAAAGACCACAAAACGTAAACGTGGTGGTGGTGGCAATCATGATGGCAGTTGCAGCAGCGGAAACATGACAGCAGCTGAAAAATATGCCGCCCTCATGGAACAATGGAAAACCAACTATGAAAAGGCAGTGACCAATCATTACTCGCCCGAATTGAGAGCCCGTCTACATGCCATTACCAAACAGCCATTACTCCTGCAATCGATTGTCAATACGGAAAATCCCCTCTTAAAAGAATACAGTAATGGTAATTTGGAATCTAAGGTCCAGACCATACCACATGCCGGTGGCAGGATTTTGGTTAGTACTATGGATCTGCCGCCCAACACTCCCATTTGCGAGCTAAGAGGCAAATATATGCTTACCACCCAGTATAAAACTCAAAATACATCTGTGAATATGAATTGTCCGCCACCAAATAATTATCAGCTGAATAGCTATAAACCGCATCGAATGCCGGGACGTTATATATTTTTCTATCAGTTGCAGGGGGCGGCTGAGGTGAATAGTAGTGCCACCACCCCCACCACAACAACCACCATAAATCCGGATGGTAGTGTAACAACAACAACCATACCGCCACCACCGGCTCAATTAAGCCCGCCCACACCGCCACCCACCTATATGAAGGGTCCGGAAATTTGTGTCGATACCCGCACCTATGGCAATGATGCCCGTTTCGTGCGTAGATCATGCCGTCCAAATGCTGAAATACAACATTTATTCGAAAAGGGTACCATCCATTTATTCATTGTCTCGTTGACGGACATACGAAATTCCACAGAGATTACCATACGCCACGAGCCACACGATTTACAGGCGGTGGAAAATAAGAAAAACAATTCGATGATAATACAACCCACAAGCACGCCCTGTGCCTGTGGTCTGAGTAAGGATTGTATTTTTGGACCACCGTTACCACAATTGCCGCCGGCGGCAAAATCTGGCAGAAAATCATTATCCTTTGGTGGTGGTGGTGCAGGGGGTGCGGCGGCAGGTAATCAATCGGCCAAGCAACGAAAGGCCAATCAACAAAATCTCAATCGTAATCGCTCAACATCGTCAAGTGGTGACAGTAATATGGGTATGGGAAATGTTATGATACCAGGCGGCAACAACAACAATAGTGGTGTTGTTTCAACGGTACCCCTTGGCCTTAACAGTCCCAATAATAACAACTTGCTGTTATCGAATAAAATTGCTGGCCTGCAAAAGAATTCATCACTGGCGATGGCCGCCTCCTCCGCGACTAACAACAATGGTCTTATGCCCCTAACGGCTTCGTGTAACAGCAATTTGAGCAATGCCTCCTCAAGCTCCTCAACATTGACAAGTTTAATGCACGACTCGGGAATATGTACATCATCATCGTCGCCATCGGTGTCGATACCATCGCCAACGCCACATATGCATTCACCCATACAGCAGACAACACAGACGACAACACAATTGCAACAACAGACACAATTGAAGCCAATGCAAATGCAACAGCAGCAACAATTAATGCAATCCCTGCCCACACCATTGATTCTGACAGCTGATATGCAACAACAGTCGCAACAGCAGCAAGTTTCACATGGAATTGCTCATTATGATAGTCCTGCTGCTGCTGGTCCACAACAAACTACAATGGTTGCTCTGCAATCACCACAACTTTGTGCAGTGCAGCAGCAACCACAAGCACCACAACAACAAGTAGTAAATATTATGGCCCAGGCGACAACCCAATCACCCAATGTCTTGGTACCTCCCCAAGAAATGGCGAAGGATCATGCAATGGCGGCGGAGCCATGTGGACAACAAATAACTCAAGCCCCTGCTGGACAATTGTGTTTGATAACCAGCACCCATCAAACAGCAGAAACAACACCCCCGACACAAATACAACAAATCATTTCACCCCACCATCATCAGCAACAACAACAACACCTTTCAATTCCCTTGCAACACATTGCTCAAGATGTTTCACCTGAAGCTTCAATTGCGGCCACAGCCTTACAAACCTTAAATTGTTCCCAAGCGACAGGAGGAGCAGGAGGTCATATTGTAACTGGCGAGTCCTCCATACAGCCATCACAACTTGTCATGGCTGCGGTGCATAGCACCAACGCCACCCTGACTTTGGCAGACAATTCCCCACAGCCTGTCAACAATCTTTCCCATGAAGCTCAACATAACCTACAACAAGAAATACCCATGGCAACATCGCCCATGCAAAATTCATCCTCTTCGCCTCAGGCGGCAAATAAATCTCCACAAAAAGATCAGCACCAACACCACCCAACAGGACGTAGTAAAACTCCCGCCAAATATGGACGCACCACTAGCTTTTCCGAAGACAATAGTGGTGCAGGTGGTGATCCGCAACAACAACATAACGAAGACAATAGCTCCTCCTCCAACACCCAGCCAAATTCCTCGTCCACCCCCAAAGAGAAACCCAAACTCTCACGAGAAGATCGTAAAATGGAGGCCATACTGAGGGCCATTGAAAAAATGGAACGTTCCCAGCAGCGTAAACAGGAACAGAAACAGGCCAAAAGGCAAAATTCCTCTGGTGGTGGCAGTCACAATACCACCCCCACATCACCGAATAAAACATTCGATTCGGCCGATAGTTCCGGTACAAAACGTTCCAATTCCCATTCGGCAACGAGGACCAAAAAGAAACGCAAGGCCGGTAGCCGTAGCTCATCACACAATAATCAAAGGAAGCGTAGGCAAAGTCGCATCAACAGTCAGGAGTCAATTGAAGGAGGAGGAGGCTGTTCTGGTGTTGGTGGTATGGGTATGGGCGGCGGCAGTGGTTCCTTTGGGGATCATGATGCTGCAATTACCTCGGAATCAGATGGTGGTTGTGCAGCAATGCTTTCACCGCCCATACAAACTATGGCGGCCAGGAATGCCAGTCCAACAAAGGTGGCCACCGGTGTTGTTGACAGTAGTCACATTGCCAATAATGTCGATCAGGCAGCCGGTCTCTTAATGGCATTTGCCAATCCCATGGTGGTGAATTCTCACACGGAGCCACAAAATCCACAACAACAACAGACAACATCATTGGAACCACAATCTCCCCAAAGATCCGCTGCACATCACTATATGTTGGGTTCTCAGGAACAGCAGACACCAACGACGCCAAGGGCCGTCAACTCCGCCTCATCACCACCACCTACTCCACCCTCCCATTTGAGTAGTGCTTGTCTGTTAATTGAAGCTGCTATGGGTCCTTTGGAAACCAATTTAGAGGATGGTAGCCATCCAACGGAATTTAAATATCCCCTGCAGACGAAGACCAAGAAATTGTTAATGAACAATTGGTTGCACAGGACCGAAGGTGGAGGAGAAGAAGAAGGGGATGATAATTGCCAGGCAGCAACACCAACATTGACCATGCCACCACAACCCCCACCGGTTGCAACAGGTTTGGATTCCCTGGTCCAGGCTGCCCTCTACGATGTCAATCAAACAGCAGCCACAACTACGGCGATCAACAGCACACCAGAAATGCCTCAAAATCTAAGTTTTGTGGCTCAACGTGTTGAGGAATTTATACAGCAGACCGAGGGAGGACCACCAACACCACCTCCACAACATCAGCAGCAACACCCACACCAACCGCTGCCGCCTTCCACCTGCTCTCAACAACATTCCTATGGCTATGAACAGCAGACGCCGTCTCAGCACCACCAGCAAATCTATGCAACAAGTCCAGCAATTGATTTGTCTCTTAAGCAGCACACAGAGAGAACTACCACAGATGCACCCGCACCCCAGAAAAACTTCCATTTACCCCTGCAGGTTAGCACATGCAGTAATAATTCATCGGTCAAGAAACGTTGGTTACGTCAAGCCATTAGCGAGGAGACCCATGAGGAGGCATTAAATGGTAATAATGCCAATTCCATGACAATGACCACATCCTCGCCATCGCCAACAACATCCACCACATTGGTTACGAATTTAATAAATTCCAATCCGCCACAAATGGCAGCGACAATTGTTACAACACCCGCGCCAGCTTGTTCGCCAGCCTCCAATGTTCCAAACGGGTTTACAACGCCATTAAAGAAACGTCGTTTATTGCTGACCGATGACAAGGAAGAGGAAGATCAAATGGTTGCGCAAGCAAATAACAACAATGCTGCCGCAGCAGTGGGTCAAGGAGGAGCTTCTACATTAAGTGTTGAGGTCATAGAACCCGTACCCCATGAACCAACTGCTGATAATCCAGCATTAATGGTTGTTCCTCAATTGGAGGCCTATCCCAAAGAGGAGAAAGAGGTAGAACCATGCATCTATCCACACCAACAGTTCGTCAAGCAAGAAGAGGAACCACCTACCGTTTTCCCTGAGGATGGCCAAGAAGATGTTGATGTCGATGTTGAGAAATGTGAACCCACAGCCGCAGACTCGAGAGAATTATTGTTGAACGCCAGCGGCGAACAGGATGTGGATGTAACCTCAACAGCATTTGAAGAAGAGGAAGGGGCATGTAAAATGGATATTGTTATAAAACATGAAGCCATTCCGCAAGAACCTTCCAATCACATTAAAACCGAAGTCATCAAAGAAGAACAAGGAGAAGAAGTTGAAGAAAAACATCGGCAGCAGGTAGAGGCGGCTATGTCATCTCAACCCCCCGCTGAATTTAATGATCAGGAAGATGATGTTGATATTTTGCGTTCACCCAGTCCGGGTCGGGAAATGATTAAGGCCGAAGATAATTTGGTTAAAATTGAACCGGAGGATACCAGTGGCAATGAGGATGTTAAAATCGATGTCGAAAAAGAGGAAGAAAGTATGGCAGCTGATGATGTTGTGGTGACAGCAACGCCATCGCCGGCGCCTCAGACTCAATTGGTTAAAACGGAGGATTGCAAGGCGGCGGAGGTAAAGGAGATTATTACAATTAAAAATGAGCCCGGACCACCTTTGCAGTTTGAAATGAAAGAGGAACCCAAAGTGGAGCAAGGCGAAAACAAAGTTTTCAATGTCACGGAAAATATTTCCAAGTTGGAAAGTTTTGAAACGAAACGGGAAACTGACCACGAAGCGGCGGATATTGAAGTGGAGGAACCAAAACCCAAGCGCTTGAAACTGGAAGAACAAGCTGAGCAGTCAGCAGGTGAAACCACCAGCATCCCTACCAGTAGCAGTAGCAATTCTACCTCCTCCACAGTCATCTCCTTGATGTCGTCATTTAAGGAGGAAAACAAAGCCACCAAGGTAATGGACAACAAGGAGATCAAACTGGAAACCAAACCTAAAATTGAAAATCAACAAAATTCTGCTGCCATTAAAGTGGAAAAACTGAAAATGGAAGATTCCCGCAATTCGGAAGAAGTTGTGGTTTCATCCACAACATCTGTGATGGCCAAAAAGGTGGTCAAGGTTGATGCTGATAGTAGTACCCCAACGACAACGGCAACAACGTCCACTTATGCAAGTGGCCGAGATAAGGTGGCATCATCATCACAAGCCATTACAACAACGGCCAATAGTCAGGTATCTTCTACAGCAGCCACATCGTCATCCTTGACTTCATCTTCGTCATCCACCGCCTTGCAACGAAAGGCCACCTTAAGTGATGATGATATTCAGGCACGTTTACACAACTTCCACAAGGAGAATATACTATTCCTGCAGTCGCGCAATAAAAAGTCTAAATTAAGTTCCTCCAATTCCACCACATCGCTGAACAATGACCTGCAGAAACATAACCACAAAAATAGCAGTAGCAACAGCAGCAGTGTCACATCAGGCACCACCAATGTTAATCACCATAATCATCATCACCACCATCATCATAATCATCATCATAGCAGCAGCCACCACAGTCGTCAGGAGGACAAAGAAAAATCGGATAAATTATCTTCGAAATATAAAAATTCCTATTCATCCTCCTCGAGCGCGGTTGGTGGAGGATCTTCTTCAAGTTCCAAAAAACCAAAGCTACATAAAAGGGAAAGGACCACAAGTTCCAGTAGTTCCTCAAATAGTCATAAAAATTCCGCAACACAGATTTCTTCTTCCTCCTCATCATCGTCGTCTTCGGCAAATAAACATTCGGTTGTGAACTCCACATCCTCCTCGTCATCATCTTCATCGTCTTCAAAGAAATTGAAATCTTTGAAAAAATCCTCTTCGGGCTCCTCAACATCATCGAATAATTCTACCACGTCCTCCACCTCTTCCTCATCTGGTTCTGGTGGCGGATCATTACAAAATTCCCATGCAGCCGCCTCCTCGGAAGCTGTGTTGGTGATGAGTAATAAGGAAAAATCGGCCCGACAACGTACCACATCATCGAGCAGTAGTGGGGCCACAACACCATTGCAACCTGCAACAGCAGTATTTGGTTCTAGCAATGGCAATACAACTAACACCACCCTCACCCCCCTAACCTCAAAAAAGAAACAACTGAACTTTGAATTGGAATTAACCAAAGATATGCATTTGGTTAACAGTGTGCCCGTGGGCAGTGGTGGTGGTGGCGGTAAACATAAGCGCCAAGAGTCCGAGTCCGGTCACACCTCATCGGCCAAGAAATCACGCAAAGACTCTTCGTCGTCCGCGGTAGCGTCCGGAAAAGAGGAACAGAAAAATGGCAATAATAAAAATCATAATTACAAGTCATCGTCCGCCACGTCCACCTCCAGTTCTTCATTGGCCTCCGATAATAAATTACCAGAAAAGGAAGAGAAAAAGAAAACATCACCTGCTCAACCCCCTGTAAATGTGGCATCATCAGCTGCTGCCGCAGCCCTGTCAACCAAATCAGCAAACACCACCCATAATGCTCAGGCGACAGAACAAATAATGGTTGTCGATACACAAACCTCTCAGGTTGTCTCCTCCAATAACGAGGAAATGTTAAGGCCACCCTCCTCCAGTACAACATCTTTACCATCACCTGCCATTCACATCCTAAAGGAACATCCCACATTACCACATTTTAATAATGTGGTTTTGGCAACATCGAATCCCTCATTAGTAACCACTCCACCTGCTCCTTCTCCTCCAGCACCAACATCTACGGCCGCCATGGCATCAGGAGTACAAAACATTCCAGTTCATGTAAGCAATACAATGCAGCCACCACCACCATTGTCCGCCATTTCAACAGGTGGTGGTCTATCATTATGTTCCACAACGGCTGCATCTATTGCCGCAGCTTCACCACCCTGCCCACCAAGCGGCAGCACAAATCATTTGCCATTTTTCAATACAATTTATGGTAAACTTTTGGATAATCCCTCCTCCTCGGCAACATCGTGTGCAAATGGCAACAGTTCACCAGCCTCCGCAATATCCTCTGCAGCAACAACCACCTCAACTGGTGGTGTGCTTTCCGAATATTTAGATACCAAATTGAAGAGCTTAAATAGTCTTGGTGGCTATGTAAGTCACACAGCCCTATTTGGTCTTAACAATAGCCCTCACCACAACAACAAAGATGTTGTCAACTCATTGACAAAGGATATCACCGGTTGTGAAATGCCAGCACCACCACCACCAACTAATTCCAATTCCACATTGCTATCATCGGTTACACCGTCCTTATCATCACTAAATGCCAACACATCCTCCATATCGACGTCATCATCGTCGTCACCTGCCTTGAAAATCCTTACGAAAACCGCAAGTCATGATCCACGTTTAAATCCACAATTGACGGCACCGGAACCACCACCTCAGCCCAAACGTAAACTATCCATTAATGAATATCGTAAACGTATGCAGCAGACCACAAGCAGCAGCAGCCCAGCCAACACCAACAGCAATAGTGGCTCGGAGTTATCATCATCAGGCAATAGTCTAGCTGGAACACCCACCACACCACCAACTACAGCCCTGCTAGAATCATCATCCCCGGTCATAATTAATAAATGCACTCTAAACTCACCGGAACGTCTAACACAGTCGGTCGATTCACAAATCCAAAAGGAGATAATTGCCTCAAGTTCCTCGGCCCCCTATGATTCATTGAACAGCAGCAACAGTAGTTCGACCAGTAACAGCAGTCTATTGAATGATTCACTTTTGAAATCGTCTTCCCTGGCTGAAGAGGATTCAACAAAAGGTAAGTAGATCGAAGCTACAACAAAAGTTTTATTTTTTTTCTAAAATCGTTGTTCTTTCTATTCATCCAATTCAGGACAATTCAATGCCGCCCCCACACTCCTCGAAAAACAACAGGAAAGCCTCTGTGCTCGTTTGAAATCGTTAAAAGAAAAACAAGGCTTGACTTTGGGAGGAGGAGTTGGTATCGGAAGCCTTGGCGGAGCCGGAAGTCTGGGTGTTAGTCGTTCACGATATTCATCGTTTAGTGAAACGGGTTTAACGGAATTTTCATTGAGAAGAGGTATGTAGAGTCTAATTTTTTATTTGAAGGACGGACTATTCATAGGCGTAAATTAAAAAAAAAAACTTATTTTTAAGAATATATCATAGGTTTGGATTCTTAAAAAAAATTGTTAAGGATCATAAACCGAGTAAGGTCAAATGGTGGATCCGCGAACTAACTAAAATGCGGCGACAATTCAGGCGTCTTAGGCGGTGCTTCCAAAGAGTCAGGCGTGTCAATGCGGAAGATTTAGCGCAGCGTAAATCCGAATTCCTTGCTGATCTTAGTACGTACAAAAGACGAATTGTCTAGGAGTACATAAGACAATTGGAGCTGCAAATGAGGCGGCAACGACAGCTTACCAGTTTAGTTGCAGTATTTGCGAAGACTAAGATGTGTGTGATCATAACCTCATTGAGATTTTGGCCACTCCGAGGGGACGTACGCAGGGCATGGGACCATTATGCGTACTGTGTCAGGTAGTTTGCTTTGTGGACTTTAGGGCATGGACCATAAATGACCAGGTCAGCTTCTTGAATGAGCAGCGTCAATGACATATTCCTTGATAGACGCCGTCAGGCTAAACCGAGTAAGGTCAAATGGTGGACACGCGAGCTAACTACAATGCGGCGGCAATTCAGGCGTCTTAGATGGCGCTTTCAAAAAGTCACGCGGCGTGCCAATGCGGAAGATTTAGCGCAGCGTAACACCGAATTCCTTGCTGATCTTAGTTCGTATAAAGATGGGCTGTCTAGGAGTAAAGAAGACAATTAGAGCTGCAAATGGGAAGAGATTTGAACGGAACAATGGAGATGATCCACGGGGTGGGTCTAAGAGACAGGTTGACCTACGTAGCAAGCAGCTCTGCGACAACCACCTCGGGGTGGGGGCTTTTTTTGGAACATTCTTTCCGGATTCGGAGAATCCATCATTTCCTTCGTTTGTTGATGAAATGAGCTAGCCTCCGGGTTTATATCGTATAGAAGTCGTGGACAGTATCTGTCGGGTTAGAAGTAGAAAATGGCCAGATATGGATGGTATGACTGGAATGATGCTGAAAGCTATTTGTGGCAGGTCATGCCGGAATATATTGAGTCCGTTTTCTCCAGCTGCATTCGTCATGGATACTTCCCGCATACTTGGAAGTGTGCCCGTGTTGTGGTGTTATTTAAGTCGCCAGATCGGATGAGGAGTGATCCTCGCTCGTATCGGGGACATAAGACCGAAATGAAATTTTTTCACAGTAAATTTATGTTTGCAACAGCGAATTTTTTCATTTTGTACTACTTAAAAAACATTGTACTATTTAAAAAACATTTAAAAACAATTAAAAAAAAACATTATTTTTATTAATTTATATTCTCAATTTTTTTAATCATATTTTTACCTTTTTTTCATTTATTTCCAGATGATGACGATATGGGTCTATTGAGCAAACGTAATTTGAGTATTTCAAGCAGTATTGGAGGTGTTGAATATTTGGATAATTGTCTAGAGGAAATATCATCGACATCCACTTCAATGTCCTCATCACGTGAACCCAGTCCGGAACGATATATTCATCATACATCAACAAATAATCATCATCATCATGGCAAACAGCAGCATGTGATAACAGCATCGGCCACCACAGCCCCCACCACGAACACCAGTAGCAGTGGCAACAATACTGGCAGCAGCAGCAATAATACCGGCGATAAGAATACAAACAGTACAAATTTAGAACGCAAAAAGAGTGTTGATATAGCCTAAGAAGATGAAGAACAAGGGCAACATGGAGGAGGATAAAAGGAGGAGAATGTGAGACACACAGCCTTAACCCACCCCCCACACAGAAAAAAAAACCCCTTTCAAAAATTGAAAAGCAACAATTGTAGAAAGAAATTTCTTACTTTCTTAGAGTTGCTTTACGATCTTGTTATTTCTGTTCTGATCCGATGATGAGTTACAGGCCAAATTAATATATTTTTAACTTTGAGAGATTTATGATGTTTGGAACTTGGAAAAAATGGAAGGAATGCAAAAATGGAAACCTAAACCCAGCATCATATATAGAAGAAGAATAAATACAGGGATTGTTTTATTAAAACACACACACACACACACACAAACGTTCATATATAAATTTTGGCCATATATACCTGAAAAAGGGAAACTATGCGTCAAAGAAAGGAAGGGGGAATAAACTTTGTGTGGTGAATAACTTTTATTTTCTGTTTGTGAATATTTAATATTTTATTTTACTTTTACTTTTGCCAAATAAGTTGCAGAAAATTAAGGAAAATTTACCCACAAAGATAATATCATCCCCCACACACCCCCCACTCACATATTTGATTTTTTGTTTATAAAATGAAAAACCACACAACATATACATACTATATACTTCTTGTACATACATTTATGAAATAATGTAAAATATATTATAATAATATTATTATTTTTTTTATTAATTTTAAAAATTTATTTAAGTTTTTTTATATAAAACCCCCCTCTACTATATATAATTGATCTGTTTCTATTTCTTTTAAACCCTGTAAAAATTAGTATAGCAAAGAAAAAGAAAGAAAACAAATACATTAAAAAATAATATTAATTAGTTTAGATGGATGAAAGTGATGAAAAAATGTTTAAAAACGATTTTCTAAACTTCCAGCCATCAGCCCCCCATACAAACATAAATACAAACAAACCAACCAACAACTGTAAATTATTATTAATATTAATATTATTATTCTATTTAAGAGTTTCTTTTCTTTTTTGTAATTTGTTTAATTGAACGAAAAAAAAGAACACATACATACACACACATTTTAGTATAGTTGCGTTAAACTAGTTTTATATACTAAAGATAATACTGTAATATTTTTTTTATTATTTTCATACATACAAACACACACACACCTACCTACCTACCTACTATAAACTACTCTCTTTTTTATTATTTTTCTTAATTTCTTTTTTGTAAGATTTTGATTTTTTTATTTAAAAAAAACAAACAAAAGAAAAACAAAAATAACAAATAACATAATTTAAATATTGGAATTGTGTAACAAAACAAAAACAACAATTTTTTGCCATTATTTCAAACGGGAGGTTTTGAGGGGGGTTGTTTCCCCTGGGATAGGAAATCTGCAGTCAAATTTTTGTAATATGGACTAGGCCATTTCATCAATAAGTAACAGTTATGGAATGTGAATTGAAATTCATAATTTTGGGAAGTGGAGGAAATGCATATTTTCAAAATTATTCAAATAGGGGTGAATATTAAGCGGACCAACTGTTTCTTCTGGCCAAGTTCTGACCAAGATGTCGGATTATATGGACTAATAAAATTGATCTCGCTGGCTATTTCTGAGTCCATTTGTATGTTCATTTTATAACCTCTAATTTAGCAATAGATGCTAACTATGGAACATCGATTGTCCCGACAATAAGCAAAGTGTTTATGGTCTATTATCGGTTTATATTTAGGGGAACGAATGGCTCGGAACTTTGTACCTTATTACGATTATGTTCCGGGTTAGTGGTATAGGGTATATGTAGTCAGTCAAGTCCAATGATACTTCTGGGCCATAAAAAAATGGAGGTTATATTGAGGAGAAATTTCCCTTGGAGTAACCCCTACGACACTATTTGGGTAACAATTTTTTTTGGGGGAAATTGTTGTTGCATCACAAAGTCGGTTTTTGGTTCTCAACATAACCCCAATTTTCTATTATAGAAAATAATAGAAAATTAAGGTTATGTTTAGAACGAAAATTTTCACTTAGATTCCCATTCAGTGGTTTTATGTTGCAACCATAAAACATATTGGTATCATATTTTCCCTAAAAAAGCTTCGGACATAATTTTTTGGACCCAAACAAAATTTGAGGTTATGTTGAGAAAAAAAAAACTTATTCAAATTTTCTGGGAGCATTTTTTGCGGGAAAATCACTTCGGACATTATCTCCGAACCATAGCAAAATTTGAGGTTATGTTAAGAAAAATTAAATTTCCACTTGATTTCCATTGGATTCCTATTCTATGGTTTTTGGTTGTATTCGTAAACCCTATTAAAGCATTTTGGTATCATATTTTCAAAAAAAAAAAAAAAAAAATGTTCGGACATAATTTTTCTGACCCAAAAAAATACTCTTTTTCTTTTTTCTGAACATTAAGCCGAAACAAAAAAATATTTATCCATATATTCGGGAAAAGCCACTTTGTTGGTTTCGGGCATCATTTTTAGAACCAGAACAAAATTTGAGGTTATGTTGAGAAAAAAAATCCACTTGGGTTTCTCTTCTGAACATTTAGCTGAAGTCAAAAAAAACCTATTCAAATTTTTTGGAAGCATATTTTTATCGGAAAAAAACCACTTGGGACGTTATTTCTGGACCAAAATTTGAGGTTATGTTTAGAAAAATTAAATTTCCGCTTGAGATCTACTTGGATTCCTATTTTGGGATTTGTGGTTGCAACCATAATCCATATTAAAGCATTTTGGTATCATATTTTTCGAAAAAAAAACTTCGGATGTTTCATTTGGTAGATCATAGCAGAATTTGGGGTTATGTTGAAAAATCCACTTGGCGTTTTTTCCTGAAAACCAAAAATTTTCAAATCTTCTGGATGCATATTTTTTCGGGAAAACTACTTCGGGCGTTATTTCTGGGCCATAGCAAAATTTGAGGTTATGTTGGGAAAAACAATTTCCACTTGGATTCCTATTCTAGGGTTTATGGTTGTAACCACAAATCATATTAAAGCGTTTTTGTATACATTTAAAAAAAGAAGGGTTCGGACATCAGTTTTTGGACCCAATTAAAATTTGAGGTTATGTTGAGAAAAAAAATCCACTTGGGTTTCTTTTCTGAACATTTAGCTGAAGTCAAAAAAAAACCCATTCAAATTTTCTGGAAGCATATTTATTTATGGAAAAAATCACTTCGGGTGTCTTTTCTGGACCATTGCTAAATTTGAGGTTATGTAGGGAAAAATTCAATTTTCCAATTTTTTATTATTAAAAATATTATATATCCAATATTTATTAAAAAATATTATAGATCCAATAATAATTTACCTATTAAAAAAATTATAATAAGTTTTTTTGCGGAAAATATTTCACTAACCTAAAAAATTGAGGTTATAAAAAGTGGGATTATAACTTCAAATAGGAATTTGAATTTTGAATTCTAATTACTTTCTGTTTTGCAGTCACAAAGAAAACTGAAATATGTTTTGTTTTTTATGAACGTTTTGAACAGCTTTTCCTAACCTACAATAATTTCTGAGGTTATTTTTTTTTCAAATTTTTTATTTTCTAACCTCAATTTTTTAAAATGGCAATAAGTTTCCTTATTAAGACTGTCCAAATGGAGCTGCAATGATTTTTGTCTACTGAAATATTTTGACCTCTTATTTTGGAAAAAATACAATTTTTGAGGTTATAAAAAATTTGGTGGATTTCATTTTTAGACCTTGTTTTGATGACCCAAATAAAATTGAAATATTTATTTTTTAGAGAATGTTTTTTGAAAATATTATCTATCAACAAATTTGAGGTTAGAAAAAAAAATTTCTTGTTTCCATTTGAATTCCTTATCTAGACTTTGTTTTGGAGCCACAAAGAAAATTGAAGAACTTTGGTGTGTTTGTAAGGAAAGTATTTTTTTTTTTTTTTGAAATTGTCCTTTTCAAAGCCAAACATATTTGTGGGGTTATGTCGAAAAACAATTATTTTCTATTTGAGGTCATAAAAAATAAATTCTTGATTCCATTTGAATTTCTTGTCTAGACTTTGTTTTGGAGCCACAAAGAAAATTTAAGAACTTTGGTGTTTATAGGGAAAGTTTTTTTTTTCAAATTGTCTTATTTAAAGCCAAAAATATTTGTGAGGTTATGTCGAAAAAAAAAATATATTTTCTATTTGAGGTTATAAAAAATTAATTCTTGTTCCCATTCTAAATTTCCCATTTAGACTTTGATTTGGAAACACATATTGAAAAACTTTGGTGTTTGTAGGGAAAGTTTTTTTTTCAAATTGTCTTTTTTAAAGCCAAAAATATAAAATGCTAAAAATAAAAATGGCAATAAAAATTTAATTAAAAAACACCAACAATAAAAAATATTTTAAAAACTTATTTCTTAATATAACCTCAAATAATTTATAACAAGTTCACAAATACATAACATTAAAAATTAATTAAAACAAAAATTTAATAAAAAATATTTTGTATTAAATTTGAAAATTAATTTTACCTGTTTTTAATGAATATAAAAATCAAAAACGATAATTGGACAATATATATATATATATATATATATATTTTTTAATTTCTTTTGTATTTATTTTTTAGTTTTCCAAATATTACAATTACAATTATATTTTTTTCAACTAATTATTATTAAAAAAACCCTTAAAAAGGTGTGTGTATAACTATTTTTTTAATACTACCATTAAAGAATGAAGCACTAAAATTATAACCTTAAAGATGAAATGAAAAAAAGTCGATGTAAATATATATAAATAATTTAAAATAAGTTATACTGTTAAAAATTTCCAAACAATAAATTAAAAATAATAATAATTTTAGGTTATTTTTTGTACAAAAAGAAAAAAAAATAATATTGAGATGGATGGTGATATGCAATGTCATGGTCAACTTTTTAAATCTATAAAGAAATAAAAAAATATTTTAGGTTTTAGGTTTTTTAGATAAATTAGGTTTTAAACATGTACATATATAAAAATAATAATTTTAATA